TTGGTCCTGCAAATTGGCAATTTATGCACAGAGAGAATTATTTAAGTAATTTGCACTCAAATTGAGTATTTTTGTACTCAAAAATTCAGCATGAACAAAAATTCTCACATTGAGTGCAAAATACTCACTTTCAGTACAAATTTCTCAAAAAATTTGTACTAAAATTGAGTACGTTTGTGCTCTTTTTTGAACATTTTTCCTCAATATGAGTACAAACTGCACTCATTTTAAGAAATAATTTAGCTTGAATTTTAGAATCGAGTATCCCCTTTTCTCAAACTGAGAAATTTCTAGCGCTCAAAATGAGAAACAAGTTCTTGATAGTGAACTTATAAATTCTTAAATGAAGAACTTTTGCACTTAAACCCGCTCCACCCATTCCCAGAAAAAAGGTAAAATATTTTTTTTCATTATATTTTGTAATACAGTTATATATATACAAACATATTTTTTTTTATTTAAGTTTATGTTCCATGTTATGATATTATTCCCTTAGCTGTCTGGTCTAGCGAAAAGCAAAGAGGTTGAAAAGAAAACGTTATTGTTAGCAAATATTGTAAATATATATGCATATATAAATATGAAACAATAAAATTAGAATGTTATTAAATGTACATTTAAAATGCATGTATGTATGTATGTACATTATACATAAAAAAATAACAAAACTAGACACGTGCTTCACGCCACTTAAAATCACACATACATACATATTGATGTACACGCTTTGGCAATATTTTTGCAGTGTTTGTTTATTGTATCATTATTAAGCACATTATAAATACAGTTAAAATTTAAGAACTTACCCTCGAGGTACGGAAGGGTGGCACGAATGTCCAGTTCACTACAAAAGTTTTTTAACTTTGTGTTACGCGCACGTCTTCATTTTGCTAAATCACACGGCAAATGACAGTCACACAAATGCGGCGCGTACCACTTTACACACCCATTAGTGAGAAAGAGACAACCATATACGCAACGAACTAAAGACCGCTCATCTCTCGTCTCGTTCGCAGAACGGAATTCTCTAGAACCCATTATGAGAATTCGCAACTCATTTTTGAGTATATCGATTACTCATATTCAGAATATTAATTCTCAAGATGGAAAATGAAGAACACATTTCCTCAAACTTAGAATTTTGTGATCAATTCAAGTTATTTTTCTTAAAATGAGTGCAACTTTTCTCAACATGAGCTTTTTCCACAAATTTTGTACTTAAATTGAGTACATCCTCAAAATGAGAATACAAATTCTCAATTTCAGAACGTCGTAATTTTCTCTGTGTGGCTTTGATGGATGATTAATTGTGGGGCTCTTGTGACTTTGATGTATTGTAATAATCGCTGTTGGTTTGTCGGCGTCTCGAAAAACCACTCGGTATTTCTAAAGATCAATAACTAAACAGTATATTTGTTGGTGGCTTGGCTTAGACTGGGAACATAACAAGATGCCTTCTAAATGTTGTCCTACCTATATATAGAACCACAATTTACATAACATTATTATCATACTTAAGATGTTAAGTATCTCAATCAAGTATCGTTATTATAATAAAATCTCTTAAGATTTCGAACCTCAGACATGTCAAATCATGTTTTAAACTGTCCAAGGGTTGTTTTCCGATTTGAACAAGATTCACATTTTTGACAGCTCGAAGACGCCCAATAAAAAGTGCCAACTCAGCTGGGTGCATTTCGAAATTGAGCCACTCTCTTTCCCAATCTTCAATCTATCCTTCCCCAGCAGAGTTCTTTCTGAGTCGTCTGTCACATAATATGGACAATCACTAACCACGCAAGTGTCAAACAAACAAAACGAGCCCAAGGCCTGCTCACTCCCCCAACTCCCTCACCACCATATACCACCCAGTTTACCCCACCATCTGCAAGGGGTTCCGAAAATTTGCAAGCAAATCCTATTTTCGTATAAGAGGAGCGCACTCTAACGGGCGGAGACAAAAAGAAAGCGAACGAACCACATTTGAGTGCTGCGGGCGTTTCGATGCTTCTGCTCTCTTTTCTTTGTGGGTCGTATGCCCGTGCACACATCAATCTCGTTCCAACTTTGCCCAGATACGAATCTTTCATTTTCGTATTTCCGTTCAAAATTTCGTGTAACTGAACTGGAACTTTAGAAAAAAAGAGGGCGCCATAAGGAATGTTACTACCACCAGACAGATGGAGGGTGGTTGATGGAGTTGGCAGAGGATGCTGCCTGCTCTATGGTAAAGTCAGCCATCGCCAATATGTGGGTGGAACATGTAGATCGACTAGGGAAATTGCCTCTAAACTAGGATGAGCTTTAAAAGGAATCCAAAATTACATTAAAAAAATTGATTTACCAGCACAAATGTTATTTTAGAATAAGAATTATTTATAATAGAAATTATTATAATAGATACCTTAAAACTATGCTTTCATCATCTTCCCCAAACAGGATGAGTAAACTCCTACGTTGGGTTTTTTAACTAGAAACTTAGAACCTGGTTGATGTAAGTTTACCTGTAATATCTGTATGAATGATAATCTCCATAAGACTGTGTATAATCCTTCATAATCTAAATCCATAATACCCCATTTGTTTCACTCACAGGGTATGCAAAGTGGGCATCATTCACATCGTCTGATTGCCCTGGCTGGTATCAAATTTAAATTTCTTCATTTGCCTTTCGGTCCGTGTGCAAGTTCAAGTTTTTTGTCTGTTCTTCGTCTGACTCCTGTTTTCCCCGTAGAGCGAAAATTCAGGTCATGTGCGACCAAAAGTAAGTGGATGCGTTCTTATCAGAGCATACCAATGTTTTATCTCGCTCGGCGCGTGTGCAAGCCGAAATACACAGAGAAAAATTTGGTATTTATTGGCCCAACGAAGAAAAATAATTTAAACCATTGATTTTAGATTATATAATATAAAAAGGCTAATCAAACACAGACAAAAACTTTTAAAGACAAGTATACTTTAGTGTTCTTCAAACTCCTTAAAAAATCTGTCGACTTTCAGGAAAATTCTTTGGTATTTCTTTGGTATTTTTTCAAATTGATGGTTGATTTTAAGCCCATTTTTATAATGCTGACTAATATTGCTGATTATTCAGCTTCTTAAAATTGGTTGTAAAAGAATTTTAGTAGGTGAAAATCAATTAATTGTCAATAATATATTATAATATAATATATCAAATATATTTATTTTAGACTTTGTTCGCTGTGTAAGGACAAAAGCAGGAAGAAGACATGGCCTGGAAGTCGCCTGCGGTTGCGCTTTCCTTCTGCCTGTGTGTGAGCGAGTGTTTTGTTTTGCCAATTGTCGGATGTGCCTGTGGGAGGAGGAGGACCGCCCACTAACACTAATACCAACACCAATACCAGCACACATGCCCAGCCAGTTAGACACTTTCTTTTTGCTACTTGAGCTTCCGTTTCCGCTTCCGCTCGCCTGACCCGCTCCATTCCGTCTGCCTCACTTACTTATGCATAGCATATAACCTTAAACATAATTTTGTTTGCCTTTTGTGCTCTGTTGTGTCCTCGTGCAATTCTATTTGCCAGTACTCGCCGAACCCATTTTCTTATCTTTGTTTGCTTGTTTTTTCTATCAAGCGCTAAATTTTATCTCTTTGACTCGTGCCGAGGGTCTAGAAGACCCCTTGAAAAAATCCTTAACCTTAAAGCTCGATGGAAGAGAAAAATTTAATTTGAGGATTCCTGCTTCTGGCGCCATTTAACCCATTGTGGACCAACAATTCAAGTGTCAAAGTTTGCACTTGAAATTATAATGGTCAGGCCCCAAAGCTCATTGGCCTGCTGGCCATAACAAAGGAATGTTGGCTAGAATTCAACCCGAAACCAACCGCCGCCCACATGACCGTCCTGCCATCGACCCAGCCTCCCACCTTCCGCAAAGTTGAACCCCGGGGGTCAAACATTCGCACAACGTCAGACGAGTCGGGTTTTGTGGAGCATAAAAACAACAAAAAAGAACTTTGAATGAAATGCATGCCCCATTGACATATGAGTGGGCGTGGCACTCTGTTGGGGGCGGCGGGCCAGTCGGATTGCTGAGGAAATGGCAAATGCATGCAGCCACACGATATGAGCTATGCCCATTCCCGCCCTCGATCCACCAGCGTTTCATCTCCACAAGCCCCACTGAATCCGTCTCTGTGCGTTGATTGTTCGATTCAAACATTTTGGCATGTTTCGGGCAGCTGAACTAGTTTTCACTTTCGCCCCAACCACCCAGCTAACTACAGTGGAACCCATGGATAAAGCAGTCGTGATCATATATTAGTAAGTCCCACATAGAGTTATGAAAGCAAAATATATAATTTTATACAGATCTTAAGATTGACGGATTGCTCATAGTATAAAAACACCTTAGCTCGTTGCGCAGGTAATTAATAAAAATTCAAACATAACATACATACAAAAAACTATCATTATTACGATTACTATTTGTGAAGATCGGTTCATAGTGCCTAAATACAAAGGTCGACAGCAATTGAATCGAAAATGGTCTATTAATTAATTTAGAAATAGTTCCAATTAACACTTTAAATGTTTAGGTAATAATAGAAGCTTAGAAATATTTCAGACTTACTATATTTCAGTCGTAGGCCCAAAGTTCTGTTTTGATATTTCATAGTTTATCATAACTTCGTTCCACAGTTCAGTTGTCGCCCGACTGAGGCTGAAATGTGTTAAATCCGCTATAAAAGCGGTTAACCGAGTAAACTGCAAATGCAAAATGCGGTTGGTTCACTTCGGTTCGGTTCGGTTGGGGTGTGCTATATCCTGGCTTGGGCTGTTCCTGCTCCTGGTCGTGTTTCCATTCCCATTCCTGGCCGGGGAACCTGGTCCTGCTCCCTGACCATATTAAAGGCCATGCCAAAGTGTTGATGGGTCAGTTTCGACCACATGCTGTGTGTGTGTCGGCAATGCAGAAATCATTTTTGTGCATTTGATGCTATTTTCGTTTTAAGATGAAGTGGCGCTTAGTAGGCTACTAAAACCTTCTCACAGTGAACCCTGTTCACCGAGCTCAAAAGGTTGTCACATTTATTTAAGGAAAATTCTAAAAAATAATTTATAGGCAAGATGGCTTCAGGAGAGGAAGAGGTTTGCTGCATGGTATACATATTGAAGAAACCATTTAATTTAATTTTTAGGAATACACAGAAGAGGAGACCAACGAGGCCATGTTATTCATACAAGAGCACGAGCTGCCCATGTCAGAGTTGGGTTGTGCTCTCAAGTATGTCCGTATTCTACACGGGAACCCATCCCAAGACGATAAGGTGATGCCAGCTTTGATGACCCAGAATCCTGTTGCAGAGGTGGAGCCACCGCCTTTAGACTGGGAGGACAAGGAGATCCAATCCGTAGCCCGTGACCTGTAAAAGTATTATATGTTTTATAATGTTCTATTTCGTTTGTGTTAATTGCCTTGAGAGCTCAGAAAACTCAAATAAATAAACTCCTTAAGGGCATTTAATGAGTTTTTTATATGTGGTTGCCATAATAAAATATTGGGTTATTGATATTCGTCAGCGAAAGTTAAGTTAAGTTATTGGCAAAATTCAATTCGTTTTCTCAATGCTATGATAGTTATACGAATGACAAGAGTCTGCAGTCCATTTTCACATATCAGGAAGTGTAGTCGATCTTTTTTATGTCTTTGACCTTATGATTCAATGACAAAGGTTAACATGATATTAAGAAATCGGCAATGGAAGCATTTGCTGACCTAAACTTTTTAAATTTATATTTTATTTATAAAGACTTAATAATAAATTGTTTCCCAGACGAACTGATTCATTTCAAAGTATGCTCTGAGTGGGTTTTGTTTGCCACGGTCGTATTTTTCCCCATCCATTTCGACATCTTTGCATACAACACTCCAGAGTTGCTCTGCATTTTCGCAGCATTTCGCGAAGAGTTGGACAATTTTTAATTGTCAAACGCAGTCGGGTGACAAATGAAGGAGTGAAGGAGTTGCACCGGAGAAGCCTTAATGACAGCTGATAATTTATTCAGCGAGTGCAACAGCTGAGCGACGGGCACGAATTGTTTTCCAGGAGCCATGAAATATTTACACGGGATAAAGGAGCAGCCGAAGGAAGCCGTGTCCTGCGCTCCCGAGATGAAATACATCCGCTTGTCATTGTCAGGATGACCGAGTGTCCAGATCTGCTGTAAAATGCAAATTCCCGGCCATTTCCACCCTCGCCGAGAGACTTGCATTTAATTAGGAATTAATGCGGGCGGTACTGGGGCTGGGGTTGGATGGTTTTGGCAATTCCGGCACTCTGCGGTTAAGTGAAAGTTGAGCTTTTGGCTTAAGCCGCCTAAGCCGCGACTAAGTTTAATGTCCCGACGCGAAACGCTCAATTTGCATTTTGCATTTTCCTCCTGTGTCAATTCTTTGGAGGGGTTTTCTTTCCCCCAAGGGGTTTTCCGCATTTGCAACCCTCGCAAACAAGTGAAAAATTTATTGTTTCAAACGGATTTCGCTGCGCCCCAAATTCGATTACTGGTAATTGCCTATTGCCAACCTCCGTTTTGGAAGGGCATGGCACAAAAGCCGGGCTTAATTGAATTAAAAGGCGTTGCAAAGCTCAAAAGCAGCGAGCGCCGTGTTCACTGATGAAGCTTTTTAAGCCGTAAACTGATTAATCGCTTGGATTCCGTCCATGGGATGAGTCCATTCAGGGTTGTTAATTAAAGCGAATGATTGTGATTGTATTTGATGGAGTAGTATAAAGTAGAGATAATGCTACAAAAGGTTCTTTAACAGTGTTGATCCACAAAATGATACAAATGCATTAAAATATTATATGAATTTATCTTTTTAAAAATCGGATTAGTTTTTAAGACACAGAATCCGAGTCACAGAACTAATGGTAATCTGACACGTGCTTTAATTTCAAATCACTAGATTTATTTCGAAAGTCATGTCAACAACATTTTATAAATTTATACTCCGTTACAAAATTAAAGACAACATAATGGTACTTTAAATATGCTACAACTGAATTGAAACTGATGCTTGAATTCTAATACTTTAAAAAATAAACTTAGCTGCTTTTTCAAATTCACTTTTACTACAATTAAAATTAAACTTATATTAATGTTTTCCTGGACTATTTAAATTCCGTGGTGTATTTCCAAATATACCAATTCACTATACTATACTATTTAGTTCATCCAAAAATACTATATTTTTGGTATTTTTACCATACTATAAATGATTTTTTTAGAGTGATACTATTGATGTTGGGCCCAAAACATTGATGTCTTTCAACTTTTCAAGCATAAAAAAATAGATTGGTTAACTCATCCTATATACTCTGTTATTATCTTACTTAAATTAAAACCAAACCATTTTTTCTTGACAATACTATACTATTAATCCTTTGGTTTAAAATACTAAGAGTATGGAAATAAGAATATTTTAATTTTTCTTATGACAAAAAGTTATAGTTCCATAACCAATAGGTTCTATAACCAATTGCCAAATAATTGAAGCATTATTTGTGGTGACTAATAAATCCCAACATTAAATTTCGAACCTCAATGCAGTCTCGTCTGAAGTTAAATTACGATCCATTGTGTAAGGACCGCAGACATGTAATAACAAATACACAAAACTCAACGCTCATTTAGGCCCCAAAGAAGCCTTTCCCCTCTCCCCTTTTTGGGGGGGATAACCGCCCATTTGATGGGTTTATTATTGGGTAAATAAATTAAAATTGTTTACCTTTCAGCGGCGTTAAGCTTCAGTTTGCTGGAGGGAGTCAGCGATACGTAGCTATCTCTTTCGGTGTTTATTTGTTGTTTCCCTGTTAGCCCGACGAGCGAGTATGTTTGTATTTTTTATTATTTTTGCCCAGTTCAATTGCGGTTACGTGAGTACGCGTATGTTGCGGCAACTTTATTTGCGCAAATTAATGGATAAATGTTCACGCATATGATAATGGAGCAGGCCGACAGGGAAATGGGTGGCCATCAACATATGAAAATAAATAGAATTATGGCAAATTTATGTGAACGAATAGAAATAACACGCGAAATTTACTTTCGAATGGTGAAATTGCACGGTGTCTAAATATTATGTTAAAATTAGTTTAGAAAGCTGCTGAAAATAGCGAAGGCAATTAGGAAAGAGGTTCGCTTTCAGAAATTGGTTTCCTTTTATTTAAATCCCGCAATTGAAAGGATAAAAAAGAAAGTGTATGCTGCTATACACATAGGAATGATAGCAAACAGTTGCGTAAACTATGCCAACTTTGGTATGCGAGTGAGATACTCTGAAACGGGGGGATTTTCAACTCCTGACCACCACCTCCTCGAGTCCAATCAAACAGTGAACTTTTTCAAGTTCTTGGCACTTTTTCCCCTCTATTGATTTTGCTTTCAAATCAAGTTTTTTGTTGAATGGCCCAGAGTGAGCTTTGATTGAAATAGTTTAGTTTGTTTTGATAGTCATGCATACGAAAATAAATATTTTGAGGCTACTCGAAAGTTAGCACCTAAGGAAAATAAAAGTTTGCATAGAATACGGTTCATGTTTGGGGTAACCGAAAATGCGCATCTGAATTGTCTTAAACCTGAGCTTAAACAAGAAGTAGCAATTCTTTTTGTAAAAAATATTTACAATATTTTCTAAGTGTGGTTATGTCTAAGCATATCCAGTGAAAACTTTCTTCTGAAATCCCCTCACCTTTGTCCTTAAGTATCCGTATCCCATTTCCATTGCCTGACTCTCAACTATCCAATTCCAACTAAAGTTTCCTTTTATTCAAGTAAACTTTAGTGACACCCGAACCAAGCCCTCGGTTATTATCCCTAAGTACAACAGTGTTGAGATAAAAAGTAACCAAATATATGGGCACTATGAAAGAAAACCTATCAAAGAGATACATATTTTCTTCAAGGACACACAGACGAATCTTCCGAATTCATCTTACTTATCATTTGTATTTGCGTAATAAAATCGACTGAGAAAGTATTAATATTTATTGTACCTAAGTGAGGTAAGAAGCCAACGAAACTAAGTACCATAACATTTCCCATCACTGCAGTCCAAGTGCCATAAATGTCAATAGACCAGAAACCATTATGCATAGTAATACCCCCACTCGCAGTCGTTGGAGCGCTGCAGCTGCTCAAAAGCCACGGGGAGTCCCCTTTTCGGATCCCCAGGACCCATCCCCAAAACCCCCTTCCCCGTGGCCTTTGTCCGATGTCAGCATTGTCTGTTCCTGTTCCTCGACTTCTGTTCGCATGCTAAACAATATTTCTCCATTACGAAACAATGGGACGAGTCGCCTGTCCCCGACAAGTAGCACCTTTTACTTGTGGCATCAGTTAAAAGTTTTGCTTTTTATGTTAGCGCGTTGCAGTGGCAAGTTCCCCTCCGACTGAACCCCCTCGCCAGGATCCTTACAACTATCTCAAGTCGTTGCGGCAACTTTTGTTGCCTACTTTCGTGGGACCTCCTTTCTCTCCATGTGGCAAGTTTTTGCTTTCGCTTATTGTCCGGCGTGGAAAGGAAAAAAGTTTGGTTTTGTTGCTAAATTGAATGCGACTTGCGTTTGCTTTACCGCCGCCACGTCCTTGTGTCCAGCGTCGTGCTGACGTCCTGCTAAAAGTCCTTGAAGGTGCAAATTGTAAAACAAACAGAGGAACGAGACCTTCCCAGCTGCCTCGAACAGAGGTGGGGCAACAAAGTTGACAGATAAAGTGGTGCAAGCAGATCGAGGTCTTTAAAGAGGATTCGACCCGTAATTCAGGGTGATTACAGATCATGCGGTGCCATTAAAATGCCCAAAGAATTAGCCACTATTGTTATAAATTCATATCCAATTTAAATATAAGTATAATATTTCTGCATTTATTTTTCTGACCTACTAGTGGGTCTAGTCACCTAACATTATTAAGGCGTAACTAACATATGTGTAGTATGACTAATAAATTTAAGCTGTAGCTTACGCATCTATATAAATACGAAACAATAATAGATTGTTATAAACACAAAAAATGATGTCGATGTCATTGCTACTACAATTGGACATCATCTACCTTGTGGGAATGGTTCTATCAATTATAATTCCTTGTACTTCAATGCAAAATTGCTGGGAAGCCCCCTTACCATAATAAGATGTCATAAATAATGTTGTACTTTTGACTACAACTATATTAAGAAGTACAAAACTTGTCTTTGTTGTTACCAAGTATTAATGTAAGAATAGATTTTAAAAATATGTGAGCTTGAGTTGACCTTACAATAGTTTATTAAAGATAACTAAAATATAAATACTTGTACAAAAGAAAAGTAGAAAGGTTACTTCATGTCCGTAAGAAACGATGGTTCTAATAATGCATTTCTCCTAATTCTGCAAGTAAAACATTTTATTAAATTATTTTTCAACATTCTTCATTCCTAAAATGTGTTCATGCTCTGAGTTGGATGAGAGGGC